CGGAGAGGCTTCCCGTGGCCAACAGTTTAATGGCCTGGGCAAAGCAGCGCTTGGTTACGCTGTGGTGAGTCTGTTGGCGGTGGGAACTGGGAAGTCCTAGGAAAAAAGAACTTTAACATACAGTTGGGAGGCAGTAAAACAATTACAGGCTGCGAGATGCTGTCAGTGAGGAAGACAGATTCTGCTATTTGGAGAGTGAAATCTGTGAGTGAACCCTGCCTTTGCAGATTGCAGTTGTGAGGAGGACCGAGGTGAGCCGTAATACACGGTCGCTGAATTTCTCTACCACTTTTTGTTCCAGGGCATTTCGGAGTGATTTCTAAGTATACAAATAGAGCATATCCACAAAGTTACGACAATGACGAGGGAGGCTTTCTGTAATTGATTATCAATGCAAATTGTACAATAACTCATGTAAGCTGGTGAAAAGTAATGCTGTGTTCTGTTGCTGGCATTTAGTAATGTGAAATATGAAATGATGCAAGAATAGCCTCTAACAGCTTGCTGGGGGGAGGGGGGGGCTTGTCTTTGCAGGTCTGTGAGTCAAGCATGTGTGGAAAAATCACTCATGTTCAGAAGTAACACCCCTTATCCTACCGATACCGTGGCTGTCCCTGGTGGGCACGATCTGTTCTGTGTGCAGCTGGATGACTGTAAGTGACCTTTCTTTCCACACATTTAATTCATAGATTGCCTCTGCTTAGGGAATGTTTTTTTAAACTTACATGTTATAATCGTTACTAACTATTTGGGCTGTTAGAGTTCCAGAGAGACCGTAGTGAATCAGGGTCCCATCACCAAAGGCAAACAAAAAAAAGATCATTGCACTCAGTTTAAGGGTAGGGTCTCTGGCTAAACACAAATCAGCTTTTATTAGTTGCTTCTGTATCTGAGTTACCTTACTTTGTTTGCTACACTTAGAGCAGCAAATAAGGGTTGATGTTTGAAATACACCGCTACTATCCTTTTCAGAAAGTGATTTCTTATAGTATCTTGGATTCTCTATTTCATATGCTTATTTTCATACTTTCTTCTCTGCTGGCAATGATTTTTCTCTAGTAATCATATACCCTCGTAGGGTGTGCCATTAACACTTTTTCTCTTTCTGCTTTCCACATTGTACTTCATTTGACTGATTTGATGTCCAGCTCTCTGGCATTCATTCCAACCCACTAGGGTCTCACATTTGAACACTTACTGTTTTCTTTTTTGGGTCTTTTGCCTGGGAGTTTTGACCCACAGTCCCACCTACTTGTGACCTAAATCATAGAGCATTTTAGGATGGAAGGGGCTCAGGAGGTTAACTGGTCCAACAACTAGTCAAAACAGGATTAGCTTTTTATTATCTAGTCCCGCTTTCAGCTCTTCACAGATGTTGCCTGAATGTTTTGCATACAGGGAAGAGCAAAGAAACAATGAGAGCCTCCTAGTACAGAGTATGATAGGTAGTAGTGCTAGAACTTCACCCGTTCCAATTTTCAGTAGGTCTCAAAGTAAAGATGAATTTTGATGAGGGTTTAACCACAGCTGAAAGTGCCATCAGGCTCCTGGGTATTCCAGCCTGTAACTTGAAAGTAGCTGAATTTTATCCTTCTTCCACACCACCCCCAGCATCATAAAAATAGGATTAGAAGGATTCTGAATGTGTAATCTTATCCAAAGGAAGGATCAGCTGTGTCCAGATGGATGCCACTAGATTTTTCTGCCCGTTTAATATTTGGGCCCCATAACTATCACATGATTAGGCCTGCTGA